GCCTGCCCTCGTGCCCGAGGTAAGGAAGAACTTCTACTAAAACGGACACGTCTTCACCTTGTTCACTGATGGTGCCTCAAATGTGAAAGTATCTTGGCTCGGTATAGTTTTGAAGCCACCCACGGGTGGCATGATTAGGCAATCTATAAAAACTGCAAGGTTGACTAACAATGAAGCCGAGTATGAGGCTGTGATTGTAGGTCTGGAATTGGCCAAAGGCCTAGGAGCGGAAGTCATCGAAGCAAAATTTGATTCCCTTCTAGTGGTAAATCAGGTAAATGGGAGCTTCAAGGTTCGGGAAGACAGGATGCAAAAATACTTAGATAAAATTCAAGTCACATTGCACCGCATCAAGGAATGGACTCTGGTCCACATACCTCGGGAGCAAAATAGTGAGGCCGATGCCCTCACAAACCTGGGATAATCAGTCAAAGAAGATGACATACACCCCGGGGCTATTGTTCAACTATCCAAATCAGTGATCGAAAAGGCCATGCCGAGATCAACTCCACTAGCTTGACATTGGATTGGAGAAATAAATATATCGACTATCTGGAAAGTGGAAAGCTACCTGCGGATCCAAAAGAGTCGAGGGCCCTGCGAACCAAGGCAGCCTGGTTCTCGCTCGACAAAAATAGAACTCTATACAAAAGAACCTTTGATGGGCCCCTAGCAGTATGTCTGGGACCGAGGGACACAGATTACATGCTCCGAGAAATCCATGAGGGCACCTACGGAATCACTCCGGTGCCGACTCTTTAGTCCGAAAGGTGATCAGAGCAGGCTACTATTCAGACAACATGGAGAAGGACACTAAAGAATTCATCCAAAAATGCGACAAATGCCAAAGATTTGCACCAATGATTCACTAACCCGGTGAACAGCTGCATTCAGTCTTGTCACCATGGCCATTCATGAAGTGGGGGATGGACATCGTCAGACCCTTGCCGACGGCACCAGGTAAGGCTAGATTTATTTTATTTATGACTGACTACTTCTTAAAATGGGTGGAAGCGCAGCCCTTTGAGAAGATAAGGGAAAAAGAAGTCATTAACTTCATCTGGGACCATATCATGCGTCTATTCGGGATTCCCTCCGAGATAACATATGATAACGGGAAGCACTTCATTGGGAGAAAAGTAACAAAGTTCCTCGAGGATCATAAAATCAAAAGGATCCTGTCAACACCCTACCACCCATGTGCAAACAGCCAGGACGGGTGCACAAATAAGACCATCATTCAAAACTTGAAAAAGAAGTTGGAAAATGCAAAAGGAAAATGGAGAGAAATGTTGCTCGAGGTTCTCTGGGAATATCGAACTACTCCAAAATCGAGAATATGAGAAACGCCTTTCTCTCTGGTATATGGCTCTGAGGCATTAATAGCGGTCGAGGTTGGGGAACCAAGTGCCATATTTTGACATGCCACCAGAGCTCAAACAACGAGGCTATAACTGCAGCCCTCGAACTATTAGATGAAAAGCGAGAAGCTTCGCTGGTCCGAATGGCAGCCCAAAAACAAAGAATCAAAATGTACTATAACAGGAGAACCAATTTTTGACATTTCAGAGTCGGGGACTTAGTCCTGAGAAGAGTCACCCTGAACACTCGAAACCCTAATGAAGGGAAGCTAGGCCCAAGGTGGGAAGGACCGTACCGTGTCCTCGGAATTATCGGCAAAGGGTCGTACTAGCTCAGCACCATGGAAGGCGAATAACTTCCTAGCAATTGGAACATATCAATGCTCAAATGCTATTACTGCTAAGGTGTTTGATGGAAGACACCTAAACACCCTACGACTCTGACATCGATCCCTATCGAAGGAGCCAAAAAGATAAACAAACAACAAAGTAGCAATCGCAAGCCATACTCTCGGTTGCACCCGAGTAAATGAGCAAAGGACCGTACTGCATCCCCGGAGCAAGCAGCTGAAGAATATCAAGGCTCGAAGCGCCATAACTGCTAAGGTATAACCGTCTCCCTTTCCATTTACGCCTTACACTAACCTATATGCAGGTGTCCGATTAGAAAAATCAGAGTACCTTCCGACTTGAAGACATTAGGTTTTAAAACATGCGTTGCACTCTTTTCCTTCGATCAGATTTTTATCCCAATGAGGGTTTTACCGACAAGGTTTTTAACGAGGCAATATCTATATGCTACTTAAGGAAAACTTATCGAGTATTCAAGGCTACTCTTCAATCAACCTCAAATACTAGGGGGCATCCCCCCGGGAGGTTACCTCCCCACAGAAATCAAGATAAGTCAAAGAGGGTCTCGATAGAAAAATGATGTACGGGGCCATACAGTCAAATGAACCATGTCCGCATAGAATAATCAAACCCTTGACAACGAAAACATCTATACTTGTACCAAGTAAACAACTGAGTATCTTTTCCGCACTTTAAAGAAGTTTGCCGTTTTTACGAGCAATGGCCACAAGGCCAGAAATTTCCCAAAAACTCTAGAACTGACACAAAAACTCGTATCCGTAAGACCTCTAGGCCATAAACTTCGAGCTCAACATCAAACTTTCAAAGAAGGCTCCAGAGCCAAAAAATTTCGATGTCTCGAGCCTGAAAGCCCTCCATATGGCGATGCCTAAAAATGTAAGACCTCCATGAGGCACTATCAATAATGTAAGACCTCCATGAGGCATTATCAACAACATAAGACCTCCGAGCATGCCCAAATCTGTAACACCTCAAGTCAGGCATGAATTATACTTGTACCAAATAACCTATCTGTAAGACCTCAAGCAAGGCATGCTCAAATTTATAAGACCTTAAAAAAGGCATAATCATGATCTTAAAGTAAAGGCTATATATTCAAACTTGTAAGACCGCTAAAAAGACATACCCTCGATATAGACGCCGAGGCTGCTTCACTGGGGGACTAAAAGGCTACGACCAAACACAATGACTCTGGTCAAAAGGCTACGGCCAAACACAATGTCTCCGGTCACAAGACTCCGACCAAACTAACGTGACTCGGTGATGCCCGACCGTCGCCATAAAATCACAGGCCTTCAATTACTTAGAAAATATTTCGAAAAGAACCGGTTAACTAGGCTACCCTTGGCATAAGCAAAAGAGCTTCGATCATATCAGCTCCAAACAACAAAAAGGCTTCGAAACGATTCAGCCATTGACCAAAACCTCCCGAGGTGCTCATTTATTGTTGTATAACGACTTACAATCGAGGTCCTTATCGAACCGTCGAAGAGTCGGACGAACACAAAAATTTCAAAAAGTCTTTAACGAGGGAAAAATAAAGCCTATATTAGAGGTCGTACTGACCCAATGCATAAGATCCAATGTCGCCAGCTCAAATTAAAAGGCCGTACCGACCTTATGCGTAAGAGCCACTGTCACCAGCTTAAGTTAAAGGTCGTACCGACCCAATACGTAAGAACCACTGTTCCCAGCTTAAGTTAAAGGTCGTACCGACCCAATGAGTAAGAGCCATCGCCACCAGCTTAAAAGGGCCCAGGGCAGATTTCTAGACCTAAAGGTCATAAAACTCGAGTCAAGAACCTGACTCGGGGACTAAGTCCACAATGGTCGACTTTCGACCGTCACAAATCGCCCAACAGTAGCAAGAACCCAAGGTTTTAGTCCGAGGTCCGAATTCCCAGATCAATCGTCAAAGCAAAGGTAAAATGTGAAATGATGAGGAATGAAAGGCTATCTATATATTTCTCACAAGGGTACATTTACAAGGCCTGTAAAGCCCTTACAAGGGAGAGAACAAATAAAACCCTAATCTACCACCAGGTCTATGCCTTTGACGGCTCCCTCGGAGGTTGTGCGCCTAATAGCTCTGGCCACTGTCCCAGGGTCTTCAACGGCCTCTTCCCCTTTGGGGATTTCGCCTCCATCCTCATCATCTCCTAAGCCACTACTCAAATCACTTTCAGAAGCAAGCAGGGCCGCAACATTCTCTTCTAGGGTCTTCGTCCTCTCGAGATCGGCTGACAGATCAATGCCCCTGCATGTATATCCTCGAGAGTCCGCCTCCGAGATTCTAACCGAGCATGTTCCATGGCTCGAGTCAATTGTAGCTCGGCTCCTTCGGGCACTCTCCTGGCCCGAGCATTTGCAGCAACAACACTTTCTTTATACAAGGATACGAGCGCCCCGACTTTAGTTTTGATCCTGGATAACGCATCAACTAACTCACTATGAAGATCTTTGTACTTATTACTCTCCGCCCACGCATCATGAAGTTGATGATCGACTAAAACCACCTTCCCCTGGAGGGTATCTATGAGCATGTGATTTTTGCCCTATTAAAAGATACTCCAACAAAATTAAAGAAATAGATTTTTTCCAAATTATTTTTCAATTTTATAGGATTTTTGTAGTATTTTTATTAATTGTTTGCATTTTTGTGCATGTTTAATTTTGTTCAAATCATGAAAAAAATGTCGAAAATTTCATGCATTGTATATTAGGTTTTGTGTTCACATTTTTAGGATTAATTAGTTAATTAATTGCTTAATTAAAATGAAAATCGCAAAAAATATTATTCATGTTTATAATTTATTTTTAATATTAGATTAGTATTTTCCTCTTCATTAATTTAGGATTAACTAATTTTGTAATTATTATAAATATATAATTAGTTTGATTTTATAGGTAATATTAATTTAGAATTTAATTTAGGACTTAATTAATTTAATTATGGTTTTAAATTAAATAAAAGAAAAAGAAAACAAAAAAAAAAAAGCAAAATGGGAGAGAAACAATTGGGTTTTCTGATATTGGGCCACCCCAAAGAGCAAAATGCAATGACCCAAATGTGATTTTTTACCTAATTCCGCCCCAACCAAACTCTCATAAATACCCAGTCCAACTCCCTTCTTACCAAATGACATCGTTTCCCCGTCTTTCAATTACAGTCGTTGGATTCTTTTGATCCAACGGTTCGTAACTGACCAACCCTAAAATATAAAATTGTCCTTAACCCACCCCTGGACCTTAGAAACGTGTCTCATTTACCTCTCCCATCTCTCTCTAATGAAAACCCTAGCCGCCCTTATAACCCTTGCCGTCTCCGCCATGGTCCAGGGGTGGGTTAAGGCGGTGGACCACCTCCAAACCCTACCAAATTAACACCATATAATCACCTCACCCTCTTCTTCCCATATATCCTAACCATTTCTTTCAAAGAAGCCTAGAACTTCTCGAATCTAAGATCCAAAACTCTAACTTTTCCATTTCCAATTTCGGGCAGTTTCTGGGCCATTTGAACCCAACACTTCCATTATTCAACTGCTTTTGATAAGAGCAATGTTCATCTAAAGTTCATTTTTACCCCATAAAAATTGGTCGAGTTTGTGACTGGTCCCTTCCAAAATGAGCCTTAGGTAAAATTCTTTTCTGTTTTCTTTTTATTTTTTGTTTTGTCTTCTTTCTTCTTTTAGCCTGCATGACTTTGGTAATCACAGTTTTAGTTCTTGTTCTCTTGGTTGGTACTGTCTATTTGTTTCCTTTGTTTATGAAGCATGCTGAATCTTACAATTATCTAAAGGTTGGTTTCAATTGCATAAAATTTTAGGCTGATTAGGGTTAGTTTTTATGTTATTGTTATAATCACATGACTATTTTGTTTTTTGTTTCCATTTTTGTAATTGTTCCTCTCTGGTATTCTTTGTTTTATATGCAATGATTAGCTTAGTTTCAGTCAGATTTTCAAATGGTAATTTAGTTGATTAATTTGTTTTGATTTATAAATTAATTAGGTTAATTTATAGGGTTCCTTTGCATCTTCATTCTAGTTCTTGTTTGTTTACTGTTTCGATGTGTTAGTTGTTTAAACTTAGTCTTGTTTAAGGTTAATTTGGCGAATCAGTTAATTCACTAATTAGGATTAATTTGTTTGAATTAAACCTTAGATACCCTTAGGCCTAGAACTCATTTCAGATTTAAAAAAAGGATAATTGAAACAAGTTTAGAAACCCTAATGTAGAATCACCTAGTTGGTCCTAGAAGGTCCTAAGAGGATTTTCTGAAATCAAAAAAGGGATCCGAATGTAGGGTACAACTGAAATAATCAGTAATTGAAGGGGTAATTTTGGATTTTTAAATGAGGAAAATATCATAAGGTTCTAGTATCTGTACAGCTGTCCCCATTTCCAGCATGAAAAATGCTAGAATTGGGCTGAAAAGGGACAGACAACTATCCAAAGATGTTGTACTATCTGGCATTTCAGAAATTAGGGTAGAATATTCTATTTTTTTGCTATATTTGTGCATTCTATATAAAGAATAGGCATTCACTCATTCTCACAGACACATAAAATCCTCTGAATACACTGAAAATATTCCCTAAATGAACACTCATTTTGAGGTTGTGTTTAAACTCACAAAAACCATCTGCATTTACTGAGAAGGTTTAGAAGTTCTGATTTTGTCTTAAAAACTTTGGTTTATCTAAGCTGGATCTGGACTGAAATTGGTTTTTCTGGTGCTGAAGTTTCATGATTCCAGCCTTTAAACTGCCTGATGATTGCTTCTCTTTCTGGGGTTTTATTGGATTTTCCTCTTGGCCACTAGACCTATATTTAGTCTCAGCTTTTGTTTCCAGAAGTAGGTATGTTGATATCTTATCTATAGCCCCATTTTGAAGTATATGAATGGAAATATGAACTGCTATTTTTGTTGAAAATACATGTTCTTCTATTAAGTTTTCTTCTTCTTCTTTGAAACATTCTCTGAAAGTTTACCCTATGTTTCTCAGTTGATGAATGTTCCCTTGGTATCTTTGTTAGTTCACAATGTTATGGAGTATAGTCTCTTAGCTGCTGAATACTTTTTTTTTCATAAAAAAGACCAGGTTGGTTGATTTGTTTTGCTTTGTTGTTGTTCCTTTATTCCTATTAAGTTTTTCGAATCAGAATATCACCATGCTTGGTTTCAGGTTTGGTTTGAAATAGTTTAATGATATGGCCTTTGTTGATACTTGTTGTCATTTAATCTTAAGCATGCTACTTTAATTTCTGCCTGATATTGGTATTAGATAAACAATAGCTAGGAACTTCAGTGAATATTTAAGGCAGTCTAGAAACAAAGATGTGAATCTGATCACTGGTTGGTCAGATTTGCACACTAGCTGATAATGGAATCAGCTCAAAGCTATGGAGTATGATGACATATTCTGCCTGCTGCCTTGATGAAAAGAAACACATGGATAGCATATTTTGAAGTCTTGTAATTTATATACAATGAAGTTATTCAATTTATGGAACAAAAGTTTGTATAAACAAATATTTGTAGTTGCTTTATTCATTCCCTTTCCCTTCATAGAAAATAACATTACATTAGTAATTAGAATGATATTTATATCCTGTATCAAAAGTGAAACTGCACCCTTGCCATATACTGTTCTTCCTTGTAGTAATACTATTTCTGGAAGTAAAATAACGTACATTTCTTGTCAATCATCTTTTAAAAAGGAAGCATGAAGTGTTGATTTTTGAAAATTGGGCATTTTCTGTAATTTTGTTAGCTTTGGTATAAATTGTTCTTAGTATATTTCAGCTTACTATAACTTGCTCTAGGCGTTGGGCTTTGCAAATGCTCAGGCCCACACTTAGAAAACTCCTTTAGATTAGTATCTGAAGCTTAAATATTAGGGCTTATTTGATGGGGCCATCCAGGCCAATTCGCTAGGCCCAAACGTCCAAACATAGGCCTGATAGGCAGCCATTAAGCAAATTAATCCCTTCTGATTCAAATAATTATCATACCTTTACGCCTAGCTGCATAAGGTAGAATGGTTTAGAGATATAATCATAAGAATTAGTGTCACACCTCCTTTTTCCGCCCCCGCGAGGGTGCAAGGAGTTTTTTTCAATTAAAGGACAATCGAAACGGGATTTATTTATTTATTTCAGAGTCGCCACTTGGGAGATTTAGGGTGTC